AAAGTAGATTTAGAGACGGACGCTGGGAATTACCACGAAGAATGTTGACTGTGAATGTTTGTATTTCAGAATCCGTACGCTTAATGGCACCGCCCAATCTGGTGAAGACTACATTGCTATCGATAAAACCTTAACATTCGCACCCAACCAGTCCAGCATAAGAGAAAATGTGGTGTTGGTGAATGATAACGTCCTGGAACCTGACGAGACGTTTAGCTTGTCTGTGACGTCATCAGATGACAGGGTTAACATGATATGTCCTGGTACCGAATTTACTATTATCAATGATGACAGTAAGTATGAGCGCCTTGCATGAGTGGAAAGTTGAAATTTGTACCCAAAGAAGAAAGCTTAAACGTATCGCAGCTGCGAAACAATGCCGTGCCACTGGTTTTAAAATTTGTAATGAAACTCTTTTTCTATCTATCGAACAAAATGGACGCCATTTCTTAAATTTTAATTTGTTTTCTTCGTTTCTTCGGCAAAATCTGTATCACTGTAACACTGGTGAACKGTGGCACTTCTCCGAATCCATCCCCCTCTCTTTAGATCYGTCACTGGAATATCAAGAGAGATATCGGGAAACCCATCCGTGCGTTTTTATCTTTTCTTTCGTATCACTTTGTATAGCTTTYATCAGATGTACTAACCAAAGCATTGTGGTCAGCGAGGGTAACAAAACCGTCTATTTTACTTTGAAAAGAGAAGGTGTCTTGAACATAACTTCTCCTATCTGGTAAGACACTGATTACCGCTCATTTCTATCTGCACTTGAATGACTTCTACTTCTAAAGATTTGAAATACTTGTAAAACTTTAAAGACTCGTAAAGCTATATTTTTGGTGTAACAGGTTTAGTACAAAAGACGGCACAGCATTTGATAAATCAGACTACAAGCCACAAAACCAAGTCAACAGAACCTTCCTTCCAGGTCAAGTGTACATGACGTTAAGCGTCGATCTGGTTGACGACGAGTACAAAGAAAATAATGAAAATTTCTCAGTCATCATTGGATCTCATGACCACGACACGACTCTTACGTCAGGAGACAAATGTGAACTTATTACCATCCAGGATGATGAACCAAGTAAGAGCGATTCTGTGATAAGCAAAGTGTTATTCATCTAGACYATTCACCCAYCCATCCATCTATGGCTATCTACCAATCTGCTACGTATCCATCTTACCATCTATCTACCCATCCATCCATTACCTTTCCACCCATTTATACATTCATCCACCCATTTATCCAGCCATCCAGCCATCAATGCACTCAGTCAACCACCGACGCATTTATGCCTATTGATTTACCCAACAATCCATCAATCTCATCAATGAACCATCCGTTCACCCACTCACATGTATAAACCTCTACATATATCCTTCCATTCATCCTTCCATTTACCAAACTTCCAACCCACCCACCGAYTCATCCTTCCATTCATCTACCCATCAATTCATAGCTCCGACTCAGACAATAGTGAACAAATCAACATTGCAGCARTTTTTTCAATGTAATCAAGATCTTGTCCCACAAATAACTACAGATTATCCATTTTATAGAGTACTACAAGGATTACGAGGCAGTTTTCTATTGTTTTCACAGGACAGAAACTATTGCCTATTGAAATATTCAATTTTGAGCCCTCAGAGTTTTAAATTTTGAGCTATTCTAGATAATCTGTTAATCTTGTGGGACGTAGCAACGGTAAGTATGGGCAGTCGGAACCATGAATGCACTCAATCAACCACCAACACACCAATCAACACATGTATTCACCGAACCATCGATCCAATTCATCAAACCATCCATCTATCCACCTATCTCTCCTTGACTAATGATTAATAAACTATATTTTAGATCTTACTGAGGGAATGACAAAGCAACAAGCAGAAGGTAATGAAATATTATATTTCAATATGTCAAAGATTAAAGACGACAAATATGACATTGCCTAAATTMTTTCCAGATGAGTTGGTCTACAGAATGAACTTGAGGTCAACCAATCAAAACTGAGAATTTAACATTTTCCTTGATTTTGCCAAGAGAACCCATGAAATACGAATTCTTCACTTTTTGAATTTATCCTAAACGCAAGTCGAACTCATAGCGGATTTCCTTTTCAATCCACAAAGAAATCTACATTATCTATATCCCTGCTCAGAAAATGCTAACGAAAAAAAAGTTGACCCATARTTCGTTTAGGGGAACGATGTCAACTCAGCAGGTCTCGAGACAGTACTTTTTTTATGAAGACTTCTTTAATTCGTTTTTTTTTTTTCAGCACTCCTCGCAAGACAGCGCAATCTCGAAATAATTATTGGAGTGGGCTTGGCAGTCATGGCTTTGGTTGTTCTAATAATGCTCATAATTTTCTTTTTCTTGTGGTARGCACAAAAATCAACTTTATATCTATAAACAGCGTCTTGGGAAAATTCTGCAAACAAAATGAATATCTATATATTATCGATATATCGGGGATATTATGGGTAATTTTCAACTGGTTGAAAATCGCTGCAGGTATTTAAAGAAGTTGATCGTTTCTTTTTTTATTATTTTCTTCTTTGCAGCGTACGTGTGGCATGATCAAGTAGTTAAGAAACACTGAAAAGTGGAATCTATTGACTCAATGTATTCATGCACATCACCACACGTTCTCGGWATCTTCAGGGAATCGAAGACACCATGAAACAACCAATCACTACCCACTATATTGCTTATGGCACATCACGACACGATACCTTTAAGGAAATGAAGACACCATATAAACAACCAATCACTATCCACTATATTGCTTATGGCACATCACGACACGATACCTT